TCGAGTCTGCTCCGACGCGTTATAATTCAAATGAATCAGAGCACGTATATAGGCACCCTATATCGTATCACTTCAAGTTGCTTTCAGGCCCAGATTCAGTAACCATGGCCATTTAAACATTCAGTGTCTCGTCTCTACAGTGCTCAGCTTGGCACAGCCAGGCCCTGGTTTCTGGGGGTGCTGCATACAGAAAGCTTTTAATGAAAACATCCATGGGATGGAAATTGAGACCTGATGCCTGATGATGGATACCCCAAAACTGAAGTGCTGTAACAGCAGGACTCTGAGAATGCTGGTTTCAGGAACAGGAGAGTTGCGGGCATGCACACACGAGCGGGACCCCAGTTCATTATTTTGAATAAGTCTTTTCCTCCAAGGATAACATTTGTAAAAAGAAAGTGAAGAGAGTCAATGACCAGAGACTGCTGCTTAGTTTGCTTGCTCTAATGCTCTCCACCGTGACTGTGCATCATCTCCAGCTTACTACCTGGTACATCCACCTTTCATCCCTTGTCATTTGCTTCGATTGTAAGCCCTTTGCAGTCTGTTTTCCAGGTGGATCGTACGGACGGTGCCTCACCCCCGATTCCAGATGCTCCCAAAATGCAAGTAGTTATAATAAAGAATAAACAGAAAGGAAAGGAAATGGAAAACTCCCTGTCTTGGTGTTCAACCCTGCCGTTCAATCCCGATTATCCCAAAGAGGGCCCCCCAAAAAAGTCCGTAAAATCCTTCCTCAAGTGCCTGCTCAGGGGTTGGGTGGGCTGATCTGAAATGAATCCCGTGTCAGCCAGGACCGGGTAGCACCCCTATCCCTTCCTAGGCAATAGCAGCTACAGTGCTTCACTCTCCTAAACAGAAAGCAAACCAACACGTCAGATAACAGCACCAGAGGCTCATCCACGCTGCAAAGTGATTCATTTCTCTTCAGGCTGACGCCGTCCTATTGTCGGCGAGTGAAGGATATGCTCGTGGCTTTGAGTCGGAGCCTAAGCGGCACTTTGGGAACATTCAGCTTCTTTAAATCATAATGACAAAGTGACCCGTCAGGCTGCCGGAGCCCAAAGGAGGCAACTGCTTGAAGGATGCGAGAGTCAGCATCCCGAAACCGAACTACTCGCTCCAGAGGCTGGGGTCTGCCTGGGGGGGGGGGGGGGGGGGGTGCTGAAGGTTTATCATTTAAAGCAAATAAGCAGTTGGGCAAGGGGCACTGGAGGCAAGCTGAGGATGAGAAAATAGCAGGTTGTTTGGTTTGGGTTTTTTTCAGAGCTACTGGGGCAGCCCATCACTCTCAGCATCCTTTCAGGTACGCCTCTGTAACTGCTTTTCCTTCTTTTCTTCCTGCACGTGGAAGCAGCTGATTGCCGGGAAAGTCTGCACAGCTGTGAGGCTTTTGCACTTTCCTCATCATAGGGTCTCCACACACTGACTCCAGGCAGTGAAGTACTGCAATCACTGCACAGGTGGGGAAATAGGAAGCACAGGGCCATTACTCCACATGACACTACCAATGCACTCAAATCCAGGAGTCCTAGCTTGCTGCTCCCTTCCTCCAGTGCCAGGAAACCGAATCCAGAAGCCCCCTGCTCTAACCATTGGATACTGCTTCCTCCTGTACCTGGAGGAAAGCTGCTCACATTTTCCAAGTGCTGCCGTCTTCATTAAGCAGCAAAAAACAGCGAGACACCTTAGGAAGGAAGAAGGAAATAACAAATAGATTTAAGCTTCATATCAAGTTGCCTTCCAATAACAACGTGTCTCTTTTTGAAAGAGTTCATCTCAGGGAGCTGGCGGAGAAAGCTGACCCCGTACCTGAAACGCCCAACCTGCCCCGACAGGTAACACAGCTCACGCAGGCATTCGGTTGACAGAGCGCCCGCAACCACGAGGAAGCTACATCTTGAAGGAGAAGGAGCTGAATCACCTGCCTTGCAGCTGGAATCCAATGCAAAAACCAACCTTTATTGGTACGACAGCCTCAGCAGCACCCTTGAGCGTACATACGCACACAACCTGAAAGACAGCGAGCCCGAGACAGCCCCCGCCCCCCAAAACTTTGCAAACCCAGCTGGAGGCCCAGAGCCGGGAACCGAACCCAGACTCCCAACTCCCAGTGCGTTTTCCCCACTGTCTCGCTGCTCACCATAGCTGAATGACTGCAAATGGCAGTCTCGGAGGACCCGCCAGCGCGATAAGCCTGTCTTTAGCACTAAAGGCTCATTATCACCCTATAGGATGCATCATCAGCATAGCCATCTCTCTCTACAATGAAAATTAAGAGTCGCTGAGTTGTCTGGGGACCTGGAGAGTGATGTATCTGTAAATCCATGTGTGCATTTCGGGGTGGGTGGCTGCCAGGGGAATTCTCTCCCCCTTCAAATGACCAGTTTCCTGGTTCTAAATGACCCTGTCTTAGACTGGGGCTGTATCCCCCTCCCTCCTCGACCATTTACTTCTCCCTCGATTATCATAGTGTTTGGCCCCATCTGCAGTTTGGAGACCTTTCCGTGGCTTTCCCTGCTCCCCTCTGCCAGGGTTTCACCCATAAATCACCGAGCAGGCAGATAGAAAACAGTGCAGAAAGGGACAGCGCATCTGACTCTCTAATTGCAAATAGCTTCTTTTGGTGTCATTTGCTAGCTACACCCTGGAGACCCCAGGCTTCCTTTATCACCGCTTGACATGCTGCTCCCGGCAGACAGCTGAGTCAGCAGGCAGTCGCTGAGGGTTACAGCTCCTCATGAAGCCCAAGGTTAAAAAATGGTTGGAAGTTTAGGGCGTCATATAAACCTTTGTGGCAAAGAACTGGGAACACCACTGAGCAGCGGGGACTTTGGATGCATCTGAGAGTTACCTGGCTAGGAAGCAGATGTCCTTTCTCCATGCATACAGCATCAGGGATAACATCATACAGCTGGCCCTGGCTCAGTGCAAAACAGCCCTCTCTTGTAAGCCCCGCTCGCTCCTGCCGACTTCATGGACTCTCATTCCCCCTTTCTCCTCCGCTTTTCCTTAGCAGCTCCTGCCATGGAGAATCTCTCATCTCTCCAGCCCATCAGCTACTTCATTTCTAGGCTCAGAAGAAAACATGTTTCTTCCCTTGCTTCATTCCTCTCTTGCCGTTACAGCAAAGCCAAAATGTCTGGGTGCCACAGTCCTTGATTCTGTGGCCATCCCTATCCCAAGAAATGCAAGTCTACATAGGCAAGGCAGAAAGAGGGTGAAAGGAAAGTCAGATGCATAAAGGTCTTTGTCCACTCTCAATGACAGCGTGAAGAACAAAATCCAGAGCTTCCAGGTCATTAAATCACAGTGCTCGTCAAGCCACGTGCTGCTAGCGCCCTGTCGTTGAAAGGCTTTTGGACAGAAAGTTTATCCCAAAATATGAGAAAGCACGAGATGTTTAGGGACTCAGTAACGGAACAGTCCCATTAGCGATACAGCACACAAACAGTGGATTTCTCCTTTAAAAACACAGTTGCTGTTTATGTATGGCAGCACGAAACACCCATCATTCAGTCTGTCCCCAGGTGGATTTGTCTCCAGAAACAAGCCTAAGAATTACAGCCCCGATCCTGCCATCTGGTGCAAGAGGGAAGACCCCTGGGTCCAGCTGGAAACACGCCTGCAGCACCCAGCATCCAACTAAGCAGCACACACCGGAGAACAGGAGCCTGTGCCCAGGTCACGTGTGCACATGCACGGCTGCGTCCACTTAAAGATAATACTCTGCTTTACTGGAAAGCTCCAAATGCATGCATCTCTGTTTCTAACTGGCAGCTTACTGGCACTGACCTGATTTGCAAAACCCAAGACACTTCAGCAGAGGTCTTATAAAAAAGCCCCAGTAATCACTTCTGTACCAAAGTAAACGTTTATGTAACCATTTATTCCGTTATCACACACGTGAGTAAACACCACAGACATTAATAGGCAAACAGGGAAACAAATTCCATCTCTAAGTGGTTCTCCATACAAATCACACCCGCTCTTTGTATCAATTGCGTTTGTATTAGATGACAATGCTGCCTTTTCTGCACAGGGTGCACCGTGGGATCCAGATGAGCTGCAGACAAACATGTTGAGATATCTGGGGATTTGGGTAATCAGGTGCCGGGGACAGAGGGCCAAAATGACCTCTCGACAGCATACAGAAGGGAAGGTGGGGGTAGTAGGGCAAGTGGTTCGTCACTCATTCAAATGGCTCACGTGTGTCTCTTGTTAAGCTTGATGAAGATTGAAAGCTTAGATCCAGGAAAGAAGAGATTCCTAATTGAGTAAGACTGAAATGTATATGGCCAGCTGCAAAAGCTGGTATAACTTAGTGTGCCTGCACTGTAGACTTGCTGAGTTATACCAGCTAAGGATCCAGCCCATCCTGTCAGCTCCATTCAGATCATTCCTTGAGTGCATTTTCTGTGAGCAATACTGTACTGGGACAACATTTTCAGGGAGCCTAAGCAACCCAGAGGACTTAATTTTATTTTCAAGAGTGACTTGGGCACCTAAGAACCCATGTTCCATCTTTTTTCAATAAGACTGACAATAAGTCACTTCTGGAAAGAGCATTTAGTTGTTAAGTCATGGAGACAGCTTCTGGGGGGGAGGCGAATTACCCTGGATTCTTTGCTTGATGCAATGGTAAAGATTTTTAAATGAGCTTTTCAGTAAGAAGGCCTGAGCAGGGATCTCTGGGGTTTCCCAGCTGGAACATCTGGTTGCTTGCCATTTGTTTTCACTGCTTGGCCCAAAACAAAACTTATCCCTGCATCCATGTATGTAGATGCTTTTGGACAGAGCAGCTCACAGAAGTCACGTTCAGGGAGCCTGCTTTGTGATTTGGGAGCACAGTCAATCAAGAGAGACAAGAAATGCACCTTCAGTCTGGCATCACTGAAAGGAGAGTGCACATGCTCCGCCAGATGCGTGCACAGATCTCACAGACCCTATGGAAATGCACCCAAAGGAGGGAGA